AAGGATGCTGCTCTTCAATTTCTCCTTACAGGCGAAACAGTCTTCGTTATCGAACACATGTAAAACTAAAATTGTGAGTTTGTAATTCGTCGTTATTCTCGGACGGGGGTTTCAGTAGTGATTTTTTAGCAAGGATATTTGTGGACGGAGAAAGGAAGGGAAAGGTTACGTATGCGTGCCTCGTGTTCTGTGTAGACGATTTGGGAATATGTGAAACCATAGCCACGGGAACGTACTTGGAACATCGTTCACGTGGGTGTTGTTTTTTTCTCCTGTTTTTGAAATTCCTCCTCAATGGAAATGGAACCGTTTCTCGGAACTTTAGGCATCACAGATGGAAACCTCCGGCGAGCAACGTGACCGGGCGAACGCGCTATACACAGGCCGCCGCGCGCCGCTTCGATGTGTGTATCGTCAAGCGTGTGTGGACCGCGCGAAAGTAAATAGAGATTGTGTGAAATTGGATGCTCCGGACAACTCATTCGGAAAACATTCTGCTTCGTAATTTGAATTAGATATCGCTTGTTGTTGTGTGCGTGACACCTGTACACAAATTCGAGAATATGTGTCCTTTATAAAATTTTGTTTATTGTTGAATTTCAATTTCTTCGCTTGTGTTCTGGATCACCCTGTATACTTAACCACGTTTTTGATATATTGGGAAAAGTGTTTCGAGTTGGTGAATATTGGAGAGGCTTTCACAACGTAAACATGGAATTTTGTATTCTTTTTCTTTTAACAGTATACTCCAAAACGATTTTGAAATAGAATCTAAATCTCTGATATGTATTTCAGTAATTGATATTGCGTTTCTATTTATAAATCCATTTCTTTTGAAAATGCTTGTATCATTCAACTTTGTGTCGTATATTTTGTAGCACTCTGTATACGCCTTGTCAATAAATACTTTAGAAACATATGGTCTAAGAATATTCGCCTATACGGAAAAAATATATTAATTTTCTAATAAATTCTGATGTACAACACGAATCCTAAATATAAATAGATCGTCAATATTTAAATTGAGTACAATTGATTCTTGGACCTTAACTTTTACATCAGGGTGAAATACAATAATAGGACACTATTCTAAACATATCTGGTACCGTACCCGTTAGCGCTGTTACAAAATTTGTCAATACTATTGAAAAATAAAATTCTTAAATCAAAATGAAAATAATCTTAAATTGAACCCGGTAATCAGAGTCCATTAATCCACTATTTGAGTCCAGAATCCATTAATTTGCAATGGATTACTTATCAATAATGAAGAATATATTCGGTTACTTTGTACCTAATAAAGTAATTATACGGATTAACACGCTACCGAAGTGGATCTTGCGAAAGCTACCGTGTTTATTCCAACGTCAATGAGTATTGTCTGTTTGGGGAACAGTTTAACTAAGAATATTTGCGACCGCATTAACTTTTAAAGAGAGTTTCGTATACGTACACATTTATCAAATTGTTTCAGTTTATGAACAATGTATTTTTATGGTATTTACATTAATATTAATCGCGCTCAGTTCACGGAACTGTAAAAATCCTTGAACCTTTTTTCGTAATTAAGATATTCAAGCAGGTACACTTCGCATCCGGAAGTTACGCTTGTGAAACATTAATTAGTGAAGGAAACTACATAAAGGTGAACTCACATTATGCCTTTGCTTCACCTGGGCAGGATTCTCTGGATTTCATTCTGAAAATCTCTTAAAACTAGATACGGCATCATATGAGTGGCTGTGTATACTCGGTATGCTCGATCGACGATCGAAAGTACGTGTCAGTTATCGGTTTTAATAGATAGTCAGTAAAATAATTGAATCCTTGAAGGACAAACCGAACATATGAATGGAGATAAAATTGAATGCAAGAAAACCGCTGTGGGGCGCGTTATAGTATGAATGACAAAAGAAGTTAAGCTAACGAGAGGTGCGGTGTGAGCCTACCTTAAGGCGAGCTTAAATAAGAATTATATTTCATCGACATTGCATGAACGTAGTTATAACGTTATTTTCAATCGTTTATTTGTTTTTGCTATCAGTGCAATTCGAATGGAACGCATGACT